AAAGTAGTGCCGAGTTATTTGCTGATAAATGAAAAAAAAAAAAATTTACAAAATATTTTTTTTGTGCCATGTACTTTAATATGTCAAAAATATCATACAGCTCGAATAGTCATGTGTCATATATGTAATTTGAAAGGTCTCATCGAGTAGAATAAAACAAGCATAATTGTTTGGGGCTTTGAATAAACTGGAGCAAGTTTTTGTACAAGAAGTCACCTCCAGACCCATATGAAAATAATATATTGATGTCACCATTTTACTTGTAACTTCATAAAACATGAGGTCATCATGTGAAATGTGGTCATCATTCATGAAAACATCAGATCGTGGAAAATTAGGCACCATTGTTTAGAGCAGATTCTCCTGATTAAAAAGAGCCCAAAACCACTCTGACATTTATATCTAAAGATTTTCCTCATGAATTTATAACGCACATAAAACTGCACAGGCACCATGTAGTTTAGCCAAAAAATCTAAGGTAGCTGTCATGTGGCGATTTCGCTCGTAACTTCATGAAACATGCTTATATCATAGAAAACGACACGTCATTATTTGCAGAAAATTCTCCCGATTATAAAGAGTCACCAAACTCACCAAAATCCATCGTTTAGATCGAAAGATATCTCTCATAACGCTATAACACATAAAACAGAATTAGGTCATGTTGTCAGGGTTGGGGATGAAGGATGGAGTGAGGACTCAATATTGCAGGAAGATAAGGGCTTTATTAAAGGCATAAACAAAACAAAACAAACAAAAACTACCCCGTAGGGGAAAAACAGCTGGCAACTTGACTGGCTGGCAGGACAAGACACACGACACGAACATTCGACGACGAACTGCCTCAGGACTGCAAACACAAGGACAATAAATAGAGAGCAAATGAGGAGGGTAACGTAGCTTAGCAAAAAAATCAGAGGTTGCAGTCCTGTGGCGTTTTAGCTCGTAACTTCACCAAACATGCATAGATCTTATGCATATATAATTAGATCTTATGCATATAAATGCACAGCATTATATTCAGAAAATTCTCCAGATTAAAAAGAGCCCAAATTTACCATAATCTGTCGATCAGATCGAAAGATTTCGTTCATAGAGCTGTAACACATGAAAGCAGACAGGCGCACTGAGGCGCTGCAAAGAAAAACAGCTCTATGCTTCACGTAGCGTTTTCATTCATAACTTCACGAAACATGCATAGATCTTGAAAAAATGCACGTTATTATTTTTCAGAAAATTCTCCTGATTAAAATGAGCCCATTTACCATAATTCGTCAGTGAGATCCAAAGATATTGCTCATATTGCTATAACACATAAAATCCAATGGGCGCGCTTCAGGTGCAGCAGGACAAATAAGTGTAGTTTCACTTTGCGCTTTTATTCGTAACTTCATGAAACATGCATATATCATGGAAAATTGCATGTCATTATTTTCAGAAAATTCTCCGGTTTAAAAGGAGCCCAAACTCATCGTAATTCGTTCATTGGATCTAAATATATTACTTACGATGTTATCACACACATGAAACCATTAAATTGAGAAAAACATAGGTTACGTTTTCATTCATAACTTCATGAAACTTGCATAGATCATGGAAAATAGCTCGTCATTATTTCCAGAAAATTCTCTCGATTAAAATGAGCTCAGTCTTACCATAATCTGTCATTTAGATCTAAAGATATGCTTCATCGAATTATAACACATAAAACTCCAAATGCGCACATGTTGCAATATTCTCATGTTTTTTTACGCTTATCATTTCATGAAACATGCACCGATTGTGGAAAATGACATATCATTATTTACAGCAGATTCTCACGATTGAAATGAGTCCAAAATCAAAACAATCCATTGCGTCTTTCATGTATAAATAATGCCTAAACCCATGAATTGAAGAGATCAGTTGGAGAGCTCTATTGAACACTTAACAAGCTGAATGAAAAACCTATAATGTTTCTGTCTATTTTATATAACCTTTTTTTAAATAATTAGGTATCATTTTAAAGCTTAGAAATTCAGCTTTCGAATGCATCCAACCATTTTGATCAACTCCTAACCAGTGCTGCCTAGTTCCTCTAAACCGGAGTGTACCGCGGAGTCTGACCTTTACAATGCATGTGGCCTCTTTGATTAACTCCTAAGTAGTGCTGTGTTATTTGTGGATAAATAGAAAAAAATGTTTTCATAATTTATGAAAAATGTTCCATGTACTCTAATATGTCAGAAACATCATACAGCTCAAATAGTCATGTGTCATATGTCATTTGAAAGATCTCATCGAGTAGAATAAAACAAGTATAATTTTTTGGGGCTTTGACAAAACTTGTGTGAGGCATTACTTCAAATTCAAAACAACTGTAACAAATTTCAAAACTGTAAAGGGCTAATATAAGGGCTACCTTGGTTCCAAATGCTGTAACTTTTGATTGCTTCATGA